CAGACTCATAGTGAGCCTGACCCAGCACTGGGGAGCACATAAGCCACCATGCCCAGGGCTCTGGGCCCACATGACATGAGATACCAGGGGTCAAACCCAGGTCCTTGCACCTGCCAGTAAGGCACTTAGACCGCTGAGCTATCTCCCCAGCCTGATTTTTTTTTTCCATTACGAATAAAGCTGCTGTGTGCAAGTCTTTGTGTGAACATACATTTTCAACTCTCCTGGAATAGAACTGCTGCATCATACACTAACCCTGTATTTAACTTCTTGAGGAACTGCCAAATTATTTTCCAAAACAGCTGCAACATTTTACATCCTTATCAACAATGGATGACAGGTCTAATTTCTCCATATCCTTGCTAACATTTGCAATTTTCCTTTTTCTAAAAAAAATTATAGCCATCTTAGTGTGGGGGTGTATCATTATGATTTTTTTTTCTTTGTGACGTAGGTATCAAATCCAGATCCTCACACATGCTAAGCATTTCACAACTGAGCTATCCCCTCAGCCCTGTGTGATTCTGATTTGCGTTTTTTAATGGCCACTGATACTGAGTGTATTTTCGTGCATCTCTTGGCTACTAGTGCATCTTCTCTGGAGAAATGTCCTTTTAGAGACTCCCCACTTTAAATCAGGTTACCTCTACTTTTGTCATTACAATTTATCAGCTTTTTAATCTCTGCTATATCTACTAATATTATTGGTCTTCTCTTTTTGTTTTTCTTTTTTGATCAATCTTGTCAGAACAAATTCTGATGGTTAAATCTATGTGTTAATTTAGCTTGGACTCATCTGCTCAGATTTGTGGTCAAAGATTATCATGGTGGTTCCTCTCTGAGGGTGTTTCTGGAGGAGGCTAACATTTATACTGGTGGACTTGGAGTTAAACAGATTGGACCAAATCAGTCAAAGGCCTGAAAAGAACAAAAAGCATGATTTTCTCCAGCGAGGTCGCAATAGGTACCTTTAGATTTGAGCTTTGTCACTGTCCATTCCTGGGTTTTCAGCTTGCTGGCCTGCAGATTTTGGACTTGCCAGGCATGTGGACCAATCCTTAAAATAAATCTACTATTGAATAGATTTATTTCTTTGCTGAACCCTAGTACACTTCACTCATATTTTTAATGAATCACTTTGGACTTTCTTAATTATCTTTACTGAATATTTGGTTTCTATTTCATTAATTTATCTGTATCCCTACTATGTCATATGTTTCCCACTAGATTCTTCAGATTCTGAGGAATCTTCGGCCTTTGTTCTTTATTTGTACCACTGGTAAAGGCCAACAGTTCATTCACCTGTCTGGAGAGAAGTCTAGCTCCATATTCCACAAGTAGGTCAACCCCAGGTGTCCAGTTCCAAGTGTCTTCACTTCCTCAACACTCTTCCTCCTAAATTTGCTGTCTCAGTGAACAATCCCAACACCCTTCCAGTCTCCTAATCACAAAACCTTAATCCTTTGTCTACCTGGTAACTTTACTCAGTTGTCTCTTCCTGTTTTTCCTACCTCAGATACCTCAGCCTGTCCTTTGACCTCCAATATCCAGTTCCTTCCCTTCCCCACACAAACTTCTCAAGTTCCATTTTTTTGTGTATGTGATATTGGTGATAGAACTCAGGGCCTTGGGCATGCTAGGCAAGTGTATTACCACTGAGCCATGTTCCAGGTCCATGTGCCATTTTCTAAACCAAAAATCTGACCCCTATTACTTTACTTCTAAAAGACCTTTCCTGCCCCTCACTCTACACCCCTACACTGTCTCCCCTACACTGATCTGACTTCCTCAGTCTTGAGCCCTAAGGATGAACCACACAAATACACAGGCTTTCTTTCCCCTCCCCTTAGCTTTGTCTGGTCTCCCACTTCTGATGGCTTTTTCATTTGCCTTGTTCCCTTCACTTCTTTTTCTATTTTGATGCTATGTTTTTTTCCCTCTAAAATAAAAACCTGACGGAAGCTAAATAGTACTGGTTTGGGGAGTTAAAAAAAAAAACTATAAAAACTCTTCCTTTTCACATAGACTCTATAAACTTTCTATGGCTTCTCTGTGTTTGAAAATAATTCTTTTCTTCTCTTCCATTCATTTTTTTCTCTCTAGTCTTCTGCTCCCATGAGATATTTCTGTAACATGAGAAGTAGTAATGTTCTTGGTAGACTTTTGAGGTTCTCCATATGGTTTTGTGGTTTCCATTCTCATCTAATTCACTATTCCTTTCCTGCAGTCCCCTGAGCCTGTTTTGCATACTCTACTGAGCGGTTAATGGCTTCTGGTTTGCCATTTATTGCTTCTAATTAACTACTGGAATCACACCCTTCAGGTATTAATTTAGTACTTGATTCCTTCGAGTTTTTACCAGAAATAGACTGGCCATACCTTCAGCTTCTTCTCTGCAAACTGCTTCATGAGTTTTCTTCTGGACTGGCTAAATTGTTGTTTCTACTAGCCTCTATAATGAAGTGGACGTATTCAGCTCCACACTCATGTGACTGCAGCTTCTGCAGGAGCACCCTGCTACTGTAGGGTGTCTAACTCCCTACCATATCAATTCTAAACTCCTCAAGTTTGTTCATAAAGATGCGCAATTCTCTCCTCCAAGTCTATTTCTGGCACTTTGTCAGCAGGAATTCTCAACGCTAGGTAGAAGGGACACCTTCCTTGCACCATTTTATCCATAAAATCCGTTAACAAATGCACAAAATTATCTGCTATTTTCTAGCTGTGTTCCTTTAGCTAAAATATTCTAATTTTCTATGGGTCAGTTTCCTTAACTCTAAAGAGTGCATAATAAGGAGCCAAGGAGATAGCTCAGTAGAATAAGTGCTTGCCTGGCAAGCACAAGGGCCTGCATTCAATCCCCAGTTCTGCAAAATAAAATAAAATAGTGAATAATAGTAGCATCTAATTCACAGAGGTGCTATAAAGATTAATGTGGTAAAGTACCTGAAAAACACTGGCACATAGTAAGCAGTGAAGAAAAGTTAGCATCAATGAGCTAGACTCATGGAAGATACAGTACAAACATAAGCCAAGATTCAATTCAGTTGTTTTCCAGAGAATCTGCAAGACATTATTTGGCCATAATCAACTGGTAATTTGTTTTACATTCTGGGTTTAGAACCTCAAGGGAAAAAGATATATATTCAAGAACCAAGATCCAATCCAAATTCTTGAGTACAGAAAACAAAAAGGCTGTGGCAGGACTCAACAGTGGGCTGGGAGAGAATACCCTTGTCTAGTGGGGTGGGGGAATCCAGGCTGGCTCCTTGAAAGAGGTGGCATTTGAGCTGGGACTATCAGCACGAGTAGCACAGACTGACAGCAGATAGATAGCCTCATGATTCTGAAAACTAGAGTAGTGAACCCAATACATCATTTAAATTTGAAAAGTGAACACACTGCGGGGTTCGGGGAACTGATCAAAGACCATGAATCCGCGGTGCACAGCTTCTGCATCTGGGGACCTTGAGCAGTCTAGACATTGGATAAACAATCTCTGCACAGGGCAGGTAAAGGCCAGTGGGCTCTCCCCAGGCCTCAAGGAAATCCCTACCCCTACCCCTATTTTTCTAATTCTCTTTTCTGATGTTCCACTATCAGGCCATCTCTTCCTTAAATCCTCAGTGTGGGGCTGCAGTGCAGCTCAGGAGTAGAGCACTTACCTAGCACGTGGCAGGCCCCGTGTTCAACCCCCAACACCACAAAAGCAAAAACAAATACAACAAAAATTTCACTAAACTCAGTTTCCTACTTACCTGGAACCTGCAAAGGAAGAACCCTGCAGAGAAGAAGCCAGGGTTCATCTCCCCTCCTGGGTCCATGGGCCACCCCAAGTCTACACACCCATCCTCACCGCACTACGGGACGCTTCCTGGCACTTCCTTTTCCTCTGCCTCCTGGGACACCCTCTGTAGGTTCTGTCTCTCCCCTCTAGCCTCCTCTATGCCTATGTGTGACCACATGTGAAGTAAGTAGTTGCATGAAACTTCTGAGTAAACTTATAAAGGAGTCAGGGCCCTTCCTTCTTTTTCCCACTATCTGGAATGTGAATTCAATGGCTGGAGTTCAAGCACTCATTTGGGATTATGAAATTACCTGCTATGAAAAAGCAGAATAAGATCCAGGGTCCCCAGAGGCCAGGGAGCCTCCATACAAGTTGTGTATTCCCTACTGCTACATTTCTTTACTGGAGAGGGAAAGTTTTTTCCTGCCGATGGTATTAACGTTTGCTGTACAGAGGTAAACCTAATCCTAACCCGCAGAGACATCCAAGCAGGTATCAACGTTTCAACTCCCAGACTGATTCCTGGATATGCCCCTTAGCAGAAGAAAAAGAAAATCTCTACATCCCCAAGTTACAGAAGTAAGACATGAGTCTCTGTCTCTTCTGAACCGAATCAGTTTGGCTTTTGTCCTGAAGCCACCCTAACGCCCTCCGGGGCGAAACTGGTGGCTGACATCCCCAGGGAGCTGGACCCACATGGCCCCAGCAATGGTGGCTCTCATAAAAGGACCATACTGTGTGTGGTGACAGCTAATAAATGAGCTGGGAGATGTGACCCAGCTCTGATAACCGGCAGTGAGCACCAACAAAACTTAAGAAGGTGGAGCGCCGGGTGCTGCAAATGTAGGTCATCTCCCTGTAAGTTGTTTTTTTTTTTTCCTCTCTCAGCTGCCCTGGTCTCCCATACTTCAGACCAGATGGTGGCCTCCTCCCGGGCAGGAAGGATGGAAACCACACACTGGGAACTGGGGGTGGGGGTCAGCACACCCTATCCAGGGCTTCGCAGAAATTGGGTTACTACCTCCGGCTCTGTGCCTCAGTTTTCCACGTGGAAAGCGGGCAGTAGGCGCCTACAGCTCTTCCAGCCCCTCCTCCACGCTCGCGGGGGGCTGAGCTGCTTCTACCATCGTCCTCTCTATCCCCTCGCGTCCTCCCTCGGTCCCCACCCCGCGGGTCTCCCCTCTCGCAGCCCCTCGACCTTCTGCAGCCTCACCCTCCTCCGACAGGTAACGCAGGTCGTAGAACTCCCCCGCGAAGGTGCCGTAGGTGGAGTCGTGGCGTGGCACCGCCTCGTCGGCACCCGTGTCCCCTCGCGAGCGGCCGCGGGGTCCCCGGCCCCCCGGGCCCGCGCCGTCATCCGCTGGGCTGGCGCTGCAGGTGTGGAACCCCGCCAGCAGCAGCAGCGGCAGCAGCGGCGCCCAGGGGCCCGGGCCCTGGC